TAACCACTATCAATGCCATATTAATCATACTGTGACACTTACCACCCCCCTATACTATGAAAACAACAAGAAATAAGAGCAAAACGCACGTCAATCGCACTTTGCTGATAGTCACTGCCCTGGATATCCCCGTTGCAACGCCAGTCATTCGTGTCACCCGCTCCGTACGGGACCGCTGGGAATTGCTCGCGTCCGGGTGTTGAGTCGAAGTACGAACCGTTCCACGACGATACGCCGTTCTCACCATACTTCATGTTTGCACCTGTCATATGGTTTAATACCGCGTCCACAATGATTCTGAAAAATAACACATCAGTGAACACGTGAAGGGCAAATGAATGATCACGTGAAGAGCACGTGAATTCACTCACCTCACACCGACTTTGTTGCATCTGTTCACCATATCGATAAACTCCTCGCGTGTTCCGGATCTACTCTCCAGCTTATAGCTGACCGGTTGATAGCGTACCCACCACGGCAGATCGTTGTCCTTGTAGATGATCACGTGCTCGTTTGGTGGCGATATCTGAAATAAACCCACTTTGCACGTGGACTTCACGTGAACTCAATTCTACCAATCCTCGCTGAAAAAATGTTCCTTAGCCCACCCTAACCTTAATTTTTCCCGGCTCCAGGTTAAGCTTCATCTCTTCCCAAGATCGAGGTCGCTAGTTCCCGGGGATTTAACCCATTCCCGCAGGTAAACTGAGCTAATAGCAGCGCTAACCTGCACAGCACCGTAGCCGTAGTATTGCAGGAAGTTCTCACATTCTCGCGCGATATCGGTCCATTTCCACTCGAAAAGATGCACCATCGTCTGGCGATCGGGTAGTGTTTGGGGTGCATCGAACCTGAAATTAAATTTTTTCCATTTTTCGGCAAATTCAGGCTAAAACCAATTTTTTTTCATTAGCTCGAAAAATTTCCAACATTAAGAGTGAAAAAATTAAAAAATTCCAAAATCTCACTCATGTTCTGGATCGCCACAAGCCGTAGCGACAAGAATCGTCACAAAAAGCAGAACCCACCGAGAGGCCATTTTGATTTCCTGAAGAAGAAAACACACTATATTCACCCATGAATTACCCGCAATTTACCCAGGTCCTGGGCAACAAGAAACGGCACTCTAGGCGAAAGCTTCCTAAAAACTCAACACTACCGAAGATACGGGCAGAACGAAGATACCCGGGCAACGCCAAGATACCCACCCGGACGACAAGCAGCATTTCTGCCCAAATGGCTCAGGGCAGTATGACGGTGGTCTAAACAGCTCACCGGCTTAAATACACACTCTCAGCCAGACCGAAGACTACTTTCTGATTTTTCGTCTCTTCCGAGGAATTTTTAATTTATTCGCTTCGCCAAGACATAATCCCTTAAGCCGATTAAGTCAAAATTCCTTACTTACTAAAGTCTTTGCTCTCTTATCATTCGCTTATCACTATGCTTATCAGCTTATCACCCAAATACCCAAATACGAAGACGCCTTCCCAAAAGATGCCTGCCAATACCTTCTTAATCCTTTCCCGTACTCTTTCCCAAACGGGCAAGAGCACACCCTAACAACTTACTGCATATTTCTGCCTGCTGACACCATCTATTCATCTCCTGAAAAATTCTCACAATCAGCATAAGCCACAAACCATAACAACATTCAAAAAACACCATGGGAAAAGCATCTTCAGTCACCTTTTTTATCGCAACAAAACGTCCAAAAATGTTTACATTCTCACCAAAAATTAAACAATTTATCTTTCCAAAACGCTTTCCATATTTACAAACAAATCGAATCGAATCAAACGGATTAGCAGCATTCCATTCTAAAGGATTTAAGAAAGATGTTTAATGCTTTATTATTCATTCCTCAAAAATCTGCCATCCTCCTACCTTCACCCAATAACTAATTTCTCATTTCTGACCCATTCCATACCAACTTCAAGGCAAACTAATGCTAAATCACTTCAAACTTTTACATTCCGTTTGGAATTTTATACGAAATAACGCCAAATTCTCCGCTTCTTTCCACACTGCATGCATCACAAAAGATAGAGACACAGAAAGACAGAGACAAATGTTGAGATGGAGACGAAAAAAAAGAAAAAAACATAAAAAACGAAAAAAAGAAAACCATAAAAAATGATATAACTAAATGACCTTGATGAACCATTCACCTACTACAAGCTCTATCTCATATCTCTCATAAACTCGTCCATTTGTGACTGTTCAAATAACACAAATAAATCAAATAAATAGGACTTATACTTAATTACCTTTTCAAAAACCAAATTTTTTCATTCCATCTTCAAAAAATTTTCTGCTGTCGATGCGAAATTGCGTACGTATTCGATTCGATGCATGATCTCTTATAAACCCAGACGATTGATAACACAACAATGCACGCACTCGATAACGACGTTTCGTTCTTTCAGATAATCCTCTTAAAAGATTAAAATATGACAAAATAAATCGTCGGAGCATTTATCAAAAAACAAAAAAAGAAAAATTCTTAACTAGACACGAAAGTTTCATAAATGATATTTGATGGGCAGTGCGAACCGAAACGAATTTTTAGGGTCTAAGACAATTTCGACCCGGACAGCTAGTCCCCAATGCGAACCAGAACGAATTTCGCTAACAGACACCCCGGAACCAAACGTCTGGGTTGCAAAATGTCGTAGACCCTCAAATTTAGCGTCTCAAAAAAGAAATATTCAAAAAAAGAAATTTATTTTTATTTGTTGTTTGATCACTAAAACGCCATGCCATTACTCATCCGTCCTTCCACTCGTCGTCATACCTTTTCTATCTCTCACGTATCGATTATTAATATTATTATCATTATTATTACAGTACTATTAATATCATTATTATTGTTAACATTATTTATTATTATTATATTACTATTATTTATTATTACTATTACAGATCTCAACATTATGAAAAGTCTCCAATCCGTCTTAAAACTAATCAATAAAAAATCTCTTAGCTTGCCTCAACGCGTCACTAAATGGCGATCGCTTTCATTTTCAGATGTCACCAATTTAATGGGTTATCATTTATTATAATTATTATTATCAACTATCGTTATTAATTATTATTACTTATTATTATAATATTATTAATTTATATAGTAATAATTAACCCACAGAATCACTACACACCACCTCAAAACGTGCATTTTGCTCACTATCGGATCGCCCAAATGAACTGTCGAAATTCGAGGATTTCGATGTGGAAAAATGCTTCGAGATGGAACGAATAGGCGATAATGTTTTTCGGTATTTTTCATTTTTAAAAATTCACATTTTTTCCCAAATTCAGATCAAAATACCCCCGATTTCAGGTCAAAATATTCCCAATTTCAGGTCTACCTATCTTCGGTCGGGTTCACCACGATCTCCAGCCGTCTATGGTGGCCTGTTGTTCGCTCAAGCTCTAGCTGCAGCCGAAGAGACCGTCTCGGAACGCCTGCGAGTGCATTCCATACATTCGATGTTCATTCTAGCAGGTCTCTACGCGTAAAAATTCCCAATT